ACTGTGTCTTCAACAGCTTTCTAATTTATACCACCATCGCGTTGAATATTGTGACAATCTACGCCATTCACAAAACTTCAATAATGGCAAAAACTTTAAAAACGTTGTTACTTAGTCTCGCCTTCTCTGATGTTGCTCTTGGTTTGTTTGTTCAACCATTATACTCGTTCCTTCTGATCAAGTGGCTTCAAGTGGACAATCTTAACTGCAACATTTCTGGATTGCTAAATATTTCTGTTCGTTTCTTTTCAACTGCTTCGTTCCTTGGTGTCGTAGCTGTGAGTGTAGACAGATTTTTAGCTATTCATCTTCATCTCAGATACCAAGGGCTTGTAACTCACAAGCGTATTGTTATTGTGGTGACTGGCATATGGGTATGCAGTGCATTTTTTTCTTAAACGATATAGTGGTCGTTGCAGGGTACTCAGGATCTCATTGCTACAGTTGCTTTAGCTTTTGGTTTCATCATCACATTTGTGGTGTACATCAGGATATATTTAGCTGTCCAACGACACAGGAATCAGATTCAGTCCATGCAAATACGAAACGAAGCTCAGTCTGATGAAATGAAGAAGTTTGCTGTTCTCATTAAATCAACAGTTGGAATATTCTACGTATTTCTCGTGTTTTTAACTTGTTATTTGCCTATTTTTATTACCAAGGCTGCTATTCTAATCTATGGCTCGAATTCCGCTTTAAAAAAACTCTTACTTTTCTCATTGACTCTCGTGAATCTAAATTCAACTTTGAACCCTGTAATTTACTGCTGGAAGATGAGACACATTCGACACGCTATCATGGACATACTTTGGAAGGTGTCTCGCAAAAGAAGTCAGCTATCTCGTGTAATTTACAATCGGCAATCGAGCGTAGTCCATGTTGATAATTGATCCACTCTGTGTGGCTTACAAGGACTATGCGCACTTTATAAATGTATAACAAAGTAAATGTGGGCAAATAAGATTAAACGTAAACTTAGTGATTAGCCAAATAATTACGTAGCTCTGAATTTATCTACACAACATATCAAATTTTCGCAACTGGAGAGAAAAGGCCACTTTGAACAGGGAAGCTGGTTTTGTTATCGATGGACAGTGAGATTGTAATTACGGATGGCAATGAAAGAAGTACAGCAGACATGATATTTTTCATCTCAAGGTTTTCGTCGCTCTAAATATAAAATCAAGATCGAAAAAAGCGGGACAAGATGAGCTTCGTGCAGAGGCTTCTTTTATCCATTGAAAAGTTTCCCCATAACTGCGAAATATTTCGCCACCCCCTGAAGACTAGCACAGACAACCGAATGACGTGCAAGTTTGGAATAAAACAGTAGCAAGCTCGTGCCATCATTCCTTTTCAAAAGCAGAATCTCCAAATTACGCTAAAATAGGGCATAAAAAACTTCTTCCTCTCAATAAAAAGTTAACTCCTTGACTCTGCTTCATGTGCAATTTGAAGAAACTTTCAAGCAAGCAGGTAACAAGAATGACAAACATAATCAATCAGAGATCATGGTAGGATAGTAAGAGTCTCGGGACTAAACAACAAATTTAAGATTTAAGTGAAGGAATAAACTTCCCGGTCTTTCATTGGAAGATAAAAAGTTAAATGATNTTTACGGCAAGTTAGATGTTAATACATGAATCCACATGAGGATTGAACTTTATAATTGATCTACTCCAGGTGAGACTCGTGTCTGTCGATTCATTTATCAAATCTTAGAGCCCATTAGATTTTTTTTCTGCGATTTGTATTGCTGTCATTTCGTTTCGTGCCACTAGATTTTAGCACTGCTCATCTTTCTTCATAATTTCAAAAAATTATAATTTTGGCAATCGTCATCGTTTTCCCCTTTGTTTAATACTGATTCAAGACGGTACATCTCTTTTGAACATTGACTACTCAGAGATGCAATGGATTTTGGACGAGGTTATGGCGAAACTATGTAGAAACAGAGCGACCCAACGAAGAAGTTGTTTACAGTCATAATTCAAATAGCAGTCTTCATTAGAGAATGACAACACTGGTGGCTTTTATTCGACGTTTAAGCCATTAGGCTGGAGACCTCTGCAAAAGGTTAAGGCCTGGACCAAGACGAGAAAATTTCAGAACTTATTTATTTTCGTGTTAAACAGTTTGCCTCAATTTGAAAGGAGCTAGTATGGAAAGGATGTATGTGTTATACCAGGTTCACACAAAAGCTGTTATGTTACACACGGTTTAATATTGTTTTCTTCATATAGGCTGATTAATTAACGGAAGTTTGTACTTCAAATTTAGCGCATTGAACTGAATATTTACAAATTGATGATTATTTGAAATTTATGGAAAACTCATGCAGTTCCTCAGGTCTCTGTTTTTGATTTTTATTCAGTTAAATCAACTTTTGCTAAATATATTTCGCTGGTGTGAATGAGACCTGCTTAAAAAAATAGGCCTTGTGTAAAAATTGTCAAAACTCATTTTGACAGATGACCTGATATTTAACTTCGCCTGACTGAAACCGCTCAATATTTATTGTCTTATTTGCAATGGAACATGTAAAGTACAATTGCATGTCCTGACCGTCTCCGTCTGTTGATATGCCTGAGGCAAGTTTTTTTTTGTCATTGGATAATATCATATTGTCATTGGCTTACATATTAAGAACCCCTATCTTAACTAGTGTATACCTTTTATTGAGCTTCATCGCTTTTGCGAAAAAAAGGAACTCTTTCTGCAGAATCGCTACCCTGAATAAGGATAAATCGTCCTGCTAAAGAATCAAAACGCATTTTATTTGTCAGGAATAGGGGTTCCTATCTTCTATACACGAGTTGATATCATGAACAAATTGTCTTGTAACGAGTCTTCGCAATATTCACCTATATACGCCGAACTTGCAGATCTTCGATCGACTTTTATCGCCAACTGTGTCTTCAACAATTGTCTAACTTACACGGCCATCATGTTGAACATTGTGGCAATCTACGCCATTCACAAAACTTCAACAATGGAAAAAACGTTGAAAGCGCTACTGCTGAGTATTGCCTGCTCTGATGTTGCTGTTGGTCTGTTTACTCAACCGTCATACAGGTTCTTATTGATCAAATGGCTTCAATTAAAGGATCCTGGCTGTAACCCTTAGCGATTGCTGAAAATTTCAAGTAGTTTATTCATAACTGCTTCGTTCTTTGGTGTTGTGGCTGTAAATGTAGGCAGGTTCTTGGTACTTCGTTTTCATCTCAGATACCAAGAGCTTGTGACTCACAAGCGTATTGTTATTGTGGTGATCGGCATATGGGTGTATAGTGCATCTATTTCTTTGATGATATTGTGGGGGTTTGCTAGAACTCAAGATATTACTAGTTTAGTTTCTGGGTCTTTCGGTCTCATTATCACATTTGTGGTCTACATCAGGATATATTTAACTGTCTGACGACACAGGAATATGATTCAGTCCATGCAAATATGACACGAAGCTCAGTCTGATGAAATGAAAAACTTTACTGCTGTCATTAAATCAACAGTTGGCATATTCTACGTATATCTTGTGTTTTTAGGTTGTTATTTGCCTTTTTTTATTTGCATGGCTGCTATTCGAATCTATGGCTCGAATTC